CCCAAAACCCCAAAACCCCAAAACCCCAAAACCCCTTTTAAATCCTTAATTTTGAAATTTTTATTCTTATTATAAACATATAAAAATTAAATTTCTCTGCCATGACAGACGCTTTTACATATCAGAAGACGAGAGAGGAGTTCGGAAGACAGCCGAATTTCAAGGACACAGAGACGAAGATCATCGGTTACATTGAGCCGGATGATAATATTAGGAAAGAGTATTCTCTCCAAGATCCCAAAGAACTTGTGTTAGACAATATCCCTAAGTTCTCTGAACATGGAGTCAACACTGAAAGAGTTGCAACTAAGAATAAGGGTATGAAGCATGTGGAGGGAGGATGGCCTGATGGTATTGACCCTACAGAACCAGCTGAGGTTGCTAGATATGCCAAGAAGATGGAAAGAGATCCAAATATTGGCTTCTCGCAAGCTGTGAGAGAGACCTCTAAGGTCGCTATTGACTGCATCAAGCAAAATAATGAGATCGATCAGTTTGAAGAGTATTTCCCAGGTGAGATCCCTGACCACCAGTCTGAGAACATTAGCACCAAGACGCTGATGCTGTTCAAGGACCCGAACAAAGTTCAAAGAGCTATTTCCAGGATCACTTGGCACCCAGACCAGTCTGAATTGAAAATCGCCGCCTGTTATTCAATTTTGAGGTTCCAGCAAATGCCCAAGCACATGCCTTTGGAGTCGTATATTTGGAATTTGTCAAACCCAAATGAGCCTGACACCACTCTGGTACCTCCATCAGCCTTGTGCACAATTGCTTTCAACCACAAGAACTCGGATATATTGGTAGGAGGGTCATACAATGGCTCATTGTCATTCTTTGATTTACGTGAAGGTAACTCAGATGGTAAATGCTACCCAACATCGACAACAGTTTTGGAGAAGTCTCATCACGATCCTGTCTATGATATTTACTGGTTGACTCATTCCAAGCTCGGTGATGAGCTTGTGTCTACTTCTACAGATGGAAGACTTCTATGGTGGGACAAAAAGAAACTTAGCGAACCGGTCGACGAGCTCATTGTCAAAGAAGCAATTCACGGAAACGAAGAAGAAAAAGTCCTCGGCTGCACGAGAATCGAGTATAACCAAGAGCCTTCTCCGTTGAAATACTTAGCAGGAACAGAGCAAGGATATATCTTCTTGGCCAATAAGAGACAAGGCAAAACCACAGAGATTATGCAGAGATTTGGTGTTACCTCTGGCAAGCACCACGGGCCTATTTATGCTTTGCAAAGAAACCCATTTGCGCCTAAGTTCTTCATGAGTGTCGGTGACTGGACTGCAAAAGTGTGGTCTGAGGATCTCAGAACTCCAATCATGCAGACAAAGTACCATGATTCCTACCTGACAGACGGGTGCTGGAGCCCTCAGAGGCCAGGAATCTTCTACCTCACCCGGATGGACGGATTCATTGACATTTGGGACTTTTATTACAGGCAGAACGAAGTTGCTTATTCCCAGAAAGTGTCAGATAACCCTCTGACTTGCATCTCGATCAATGGCTCGAGGGCGGCTCTCGGAGACAGTGTTGGCTCAATCACACTTATGTCTCTGTGCAAGAGCCTCTATGAGCCCCAGCAAGGAGAGAAAGAAGAAATGATTAAAATCTTCGAAAGAGAAGCTGCCAGAGAGAAAAACCTTGAAATTGCAAAGAAACTCGCTGACAGCAAGAAGCCTGCAAAGCAAACTTCTGAGGACTTGGAAGAGAAAAGAAGGAAGGAACTCGAAGCTGAACTCCTCGACATTGAAGAGAAGTTCTACCAGACTGTGGGCATGCAAGGAGGTGATGGTCTCGGAGCTGCAGAGCCTGACAGGGAAGAGCGTAAAGACGAACAGGATTACAGAGAACCTGAGCCTGAACCTGAGCCAGAACCCGAGCCTGAGCCAGAACCAGTCAAGGAGCCGTCCGAGAAACAGCCGTCCGAGAAACAGCCATCTGAGAAGCAGCCATCCGAGAAAGCTCCATCTGAGAAAGCTGTTTCTGAGAAAGCTGTTTCTGAGAAACCATCTGAGAAAGCAGCTTCGGAGAAGCCAGACGATAAAGAGCCATCAGACCATGAAGAAGACAAAGAGCAATCTGAAAAGCCAGAGGAGGAGGAGCCATCTGAAAAGAATGATGCCCCTGAAGGAAGCCATCATTCAGAGAAAGACAAAGATGATAAGGATCCCTCAGAGAAGAGTGGAGATGCTGGAGCAAAGGATGACGATAAAAAGTCAGACAAGAAGGAAGGAGAGGGAAATAAAGAGTAGTCTTCGTCTTCCTTTCAAATCAAAAACATCAATAATATTTAATTTATGCGGGGTTTTGGGGTTTTGGGGTTTTGGGGTTTTGGGG